AAATAAATAAATGTATAAACTAAATAGGTGATGCTATAGGGATAATATTTTTATATAATTTTTTTATATAACTTTAAGATGTCATTAAATGAATAGATGCACATAATAACACAAATTTTAAATGAATAAAAAGAACAAATCATTTAATTGATACGTAAAATTATATAAAAAATTATATAAAAAAACTATCTTTAAATCATTTTCCAAATTAAATCCATTGCAATTCCTCCAATTTGGAGGGATGGAAAATAAAGGATTGAAGGGGACTCCATTACCCCTCTATCTCCCTGCCCTCCATTAATGAAGAAATCTAAAGGTGGGGAAACATCTTTCCCTCACTCTCCGAATACTTCAATCCGTAACACACTGTTAATTCTCCCATCAATGTTTGAACTTAATTATGGATAATTATTACAAATTAATACATTAGTCTCTATATATAGTATTTACAAATTAATACATTTCAAGTTGGTTCTTTATTTTTGAACTCCTAAAAAAAATTAGAGCCCTAACACCTTATAAATGTTGATACCTTCATTAAAAATTTAAAAATTTACCTTATAAAATGTTAATTAATAAGATGAATTTTTGAATTTTGAATTGAATTTTAATTAAATGAAATGATGTTATTTAAAATGGAACTCCAATCTTTTCTTGAAATCAAAAATGATATGCACCATGCTCTATATATAGTATTTATATTTATGCAGATAATAAAAGTACAACAATCCAAGTTGCAACTACTCAATGAAAGTGCAACAGGAATCCAGAAAAATTTGTAAAAAAAAAATTCTTCACAAAAAAGCTGACCTGATCACTGAAAAATGGTTCAATAGGGATATCAAGCCTTTCTTCACTTCCTCCAATAGTTGTCTCTTTCTCTTGCATTATTGAAAATGTTGGAAATGATACCATCTTTGGACAATTATCCATGTCGATAGAAAGCAATGATGAAAACTCAAGTTTATAACTTCCCACAATAAAACTTGTCAAGTTGGGACAAGACTTCAGGGTAAGGGACAATAGCTCGCGGAATATCATTTTATTTTCTGATAACTCTATACCTTCCTCTTCTGTGATGATTTGCTCTATCATTTCACAATTTTGTACCTTGATTTCCGAGAGACCGAGAAAGACTCAACACCATGGAAGGAGTTAAGAGGTATCTTAAGCTATCACAGTTACAAATTTCCAGAGAAGAAATCCGTTGGAAAATCCAATATATCTTGAGGGTTCTTGTTCCATATTTCCATCAATTTAGGAAGCTCGAGGAATTCAAATGGCTTAACCCAGCATATCCAACCTTCAAATGCAAAACATTTCTAGTTATAGCACAAAAATACAACTAAACAAAAAAAAGAATTCATAACTTTCAATTTGCATTTGATGATATGATTAATAAAGGACTTGCAAGATAAAAACCTTTCTACTTTTATAGTTGAATCCATACCATTTCTTCATACAATTGATTTATGGTGCTATTCAATTCACCCACCAGACGCTCCTCATCATTGTCATTCAGTGATATTCTCTGCAGCATTGGAGTCTTTAGGACTCCCTTACAAAAGGTCTCCATGTTGGGACATTCACTCACAACCAAGCATTCTAAACATGGGAACTTGAACGCGAAATTAAGTCTTGAACAGAAGCTTGTGAGCTTTGTTAACTGCATGAGTTTCAAAACTTTTAATTTCATAAAAACGATCTCATCTTCTAAGCCATTTCTTTCGTCTCCAACTACTTCAGTCAGCGAGTTGCAATATGTTATGCTCATTGTTTCAAGTTGAACCAGGCTTTGAGCTGTTGTGAATGAAACCAAATTTCTTAACCCTTCGCAATGCTGTACATCCAAAGTGGTGAGATTGTGGAAAGGTACCGTAGATGCTGTTAAGCTAATCAAGCCAGAACACAACTTCACTTTCAGAATTTTAAGATTTTGAAGAATTAGGTCAGCTCCTCTTGAGTCTTGGTTACATATATGCCTCAGATTCTTAAGAAATTGCAAATTCAACTCTCTAACATGTAACTGTGTTCCCACACAGTTCTCCTGACCATTAGCGTCTCCTTCAGAAGGGAATAATTCCTCCAAATCAGAAATAGCTACATCAAGCTTTTCCAACTTGCGGAAACATTGAAGGAAGCGAATTGAAAACACAGGTGATTTATCTCTATAAGAAAGAAGACGAAGAACTTTAACATTGCAAAAGAGGTCCCTTGGCAATTGCTCGTCAAATATCATTGCGACATCATCACTTGTTAATGACAGGTTCTCTAATTTAGGAAAGACCTGGAAGCAAATCCAACAAAAATATAAGAAATTGTAGAGTACTTTTCTATAAGCGAAAAAAATATTCAAAAATATTAAATGTACCATTAATATGTAACAATAAAATCATTTCTCACTCTTAATTTTGACTTTACGCTTTTCAGGTGAGTTGGGAATGCGAAGAACCAACAGATTTGGTTTAACAATGCTTTCCATATGCTTTTTTCACGGAGTTTTGTCTAAAATTTTAAATTTATATTCTTTTTTTTTAATAATTATTATTTTTCTATTTTTTCTCTAAATTTTTAATTTAGATATAACATTTAGATTTATTTATAATATCCTTAAAAAAATAAAAGACAAAACAAGATTTTTTGTGATTGGATAATTAATTAAATGAATAAATAAATAATAATACGATTAAAATTAAAAAAAAAAACTATTTACCTACTTTAAAAAATTGAAAAAACAATTAATTTAAAATAAATTTAAAGTAAAAAAAGAATAATTGTTTTGAAATAGAGGAAGTTAACTCTTAATTAATATTAATTAATTTTTTGAAAAATAACTTAAGAATAATTTTTTCATATTACTTTTTAGTACAATCTTATGTATAATTTAAATGATTGATGTTTTTAATTTATTTAAAACTCATAATATTGAGTGAACGTACTCAATTATTGCCGTATAAAAATTATATAAAAAATTATATAAAAAAATTATTCATATATCACTACTTTAATTTTTTATACACTTTTATCAATTT